TTTCAATAAAATCATTATTAAAAAGATCTAATGATTTTTCAAGGTTTTTAATTATATTAATAACTTTAGTTATTACAAATACAAATAAACAAGATTCCTTGAATTTATTTCAGTTGTTGTTTGTAAAAAACAACAATATTGTCTTATTTTGTTGAAACTATAGTTAGCTGAATAATGAGAATAAAGGGTATTATTATTAAAAAGATTTTTTAATAAAATTTAATAAAATAATCAATAGTAAGCAAGTTGTACTATGTATACGTCTATACGAAGTTTATAATCTATTGGAAATATAATTGTATAATATTATTGTATATACTTTATATTACAATTGTATTGATAAGTTAACTAGTATATACACTAAAGCTAGCGTCAGTACTAGTGAGGGCATAATGCTAAGGTACGGTATATGATACAGAGTACAGTAGTACGCGTTCTAACAATTTTAATTGGCGAGCACCCAGAGAACGAAGCACAAATATTCACGAAGACCGACCCTTCGATATCACTCTCAATTATCGGCAGCTGTGATCCTCAGGTTCCTAGCTCCTATGATTGTCACGAAGCTTTTGTAAATATAATGTGCTGTGGGTTGCACCGAACACTACTGCCTATAAAGCGTATTAGATACTTCTCAAGTATTATCAACAAATCACACAGTAGCATTTGACGCAGTGCTCAAAAACGACATGCAGATCAGCGCTCAATGAATATCGTTAGACGCTTAACTTAGCACTCCCTCGCTCAAAACCCGTCTTCAACCCACCCAATCCCATAGAAAACAACACTACAAAACAAGCACTGGAAATAATCAAGAACTAGCTTGAGAAAGCAACATGCTAAAATCTCAAGCACATGGGATGCAGCCCCAATAACTTCGTATGCAGCGGATCCGCACCGCTCAATCTCTGATACCAACCGCATGACTTTCTCCAAAGAAGGCCAGTACAAGAAGCACCTACATCAGTTGATGTAGGAATCACCAAGGGAGAAGTCAAGTTCAATCACAACAACATATTCCCTGTTACGCTATCTTGACACGTTTGACGGAAAAGCAGAGCAATTTGAGCATCAAACTGCAAGCCAGGAAAACGGTGATTACTCTCAACTTTAAGATTTTGGATAAATCTGTGGCAAAATCATCATTTGCTACCTCCCTAGAGCTACCTCGGCACTTTTTCTCAAGATTGCTTCATTAATAACCTCATCCATCCATCCATCCATCCATCCATCAATACAATATCATATCCTGTATATAAAACCCCATCAATGTTATTTTCATCAAAAATCCCCGCAAAACAAAATAGCTAAAATCATCACCTTCTGCAACAGCGACAGCGACAGCGACGTCCTTGAAAAAGCAACAGGCCAAGAAAGATTAGAAGATTAAATTTTGCGGAGCAACATTTATTCCAGTTAAATCTTTCCTAAAGGCGCAAAAAAATCGATCGAGTCGATATGAAAGGAGATGTAGTCAGTATCGAGCTGGAAATCCCTTGATTGGGAGGTTCATGTCGAGAACTTCCGTCATCAACGCCAGCCTCGAACGAATCCACTTTGAATCTCTTGGGCCAAGAAACTGGCCGTTTCGATCCTCGTTTAGATTCTGACAGTTTTGACTCACGAGACGGCAGTGGGCCAAATCTTGAAATGCTCACTATTGGTCGGGATGTCAATATTCATGATTCACCCGGATACACATATTCCCATCACAACCGAAGAGGCAATTTACATGCATGATATATGTACCCGTGTTCATAGAAGAAAATCGATACCAACCCAAATCAGAGCCAATGTCTTGAATGTGCATAGATCAGATCAAAGCAAAGGCGTTTCACCTCGCACGGTTGAAAACTGCACTCGTTACCATTACAAACGATACTGACGCTGAACCTGACATATTATCTATTATGGAAACCCTGCTCAAGGTACTCGCAAACCGAATCCTCCATGTTTGGCGGACAAATGATCATAACACCGTGATTCCCGTTCAAACGTATCAAGACAGACCCAACAGATGTGAATCTTGCATGCGGAACAAATCATGTGGTTGCAGCCAGAAGACTTCTCGATGGTGGTCTTACATTTGGGACAGTCCTTGAAGCCTAGCTCGGACTTGGCATTCTCGAATGCGGCGTCTCCACCTTCTTTTTGATATCTATATTCAACACAGGTTTGACCTGCATGAGACACATGGCACGATATACAAGTCTCAGCGAGACATTTGGCACAAGTGCGGGACTTGATGGGGAGGGTGACGCGGTAGATCTGTTCACAGTCTGGCGTTGGACAGTAGTGGAAGTCCTGAGGATGGCGGCGGATATACGAAGTGAATGATGCCTCGAGAAGCTCTTCGAAAGTAACGGAAGGTAGATGCTGTTGGATCTCTTGTAACGAGAGGACGACATCACATCCATCCATCATGCAAGTGATAATTACCTCTTTGTCGCCAGTCGCAGTCGAGGAGCACAGAGTCTCGAAACATTGCAGACAATACAAGTGTCCACAATGGGTGCGGATAGGGGCCTCGGCAGGACACCAACAGATGCAGCAATCTTCCTCATCTTCATTGACCTTTTCCTTAACAATAATACGCGTAGCTTTAATCTTCGACCTCAAGATTGCCATAGCCTTGTAGTAATTTTCGGGACCACCAGCAAGTAAGAGCTTCTTAGGGTACGATAAGACATCAATCGAAGCAACATCTTCTCCAAGAGCCAACACAATTTGCTCGAACCCGCCATTTTTTAACCACCAAAACTGGTTAAGACTGAGTTTGATGGCATAACCTTCAAGGCCTGCTTCCACCATGTTATCTAGTGTGTATTGAGCGCGCTCGGTATCTCCGGATGAGCCGTAAAGAAGAAGTTGTTGTCGTTTTCTATCACGACCAATGACGACATCACAATCCTTCTCGATTTGCTTGAGCTTACTCCATCCGATGGGTTGTAAAAAGTAGTCATTCCAAACCGGCTTACCGTCAGCCAAAGCGATAACACCAGACAACATCTTCTCCAACTTATCTTTGGCGTTGACGAAATTTTCTCCGGGCTCTCCCTCGATTTTCAAAGAGGTGAATCTCTGCGCAACATCTGTGCTTTGATATGCTCCGACATAGATACGCTGCTCAACCCAGACCTTCTTCTCCGCTTCGAGTTGTGATGCTACAATTCGATAGATCTTTGTGGTAACTTTGAACCTAGCCGAGATGAGCTGTTGTATCATAAGCTTTCCCTTTCCTAAGATCTCGATATTCTTATTGTGCAGCTGTGCAATCGCCTCTTGGGTATCTGACTCATTCTGGAACCGAACTCTCACTTTAACTCTCTTGGCTACTGGATCTTGAGAAGGATCCCAAGACTCCAGAGGGCCGATCGCCGAGAACAATGATCTCACATGATCACGAGTCAAATCATCCGATGCTTCATAGTTCTTCTTGCCAATCACCAACTCATCTGGTCTGTATTTCTTTTCCATGGCACCTTCAATATCTTCTCTTTCCGCAAGTACTGGTAGGTTTTTCAAGATGCACAGGAACTTGTGTTCTCGGTCATGCCAATTTTTCGAAACAAGAGGTTGATCGCACTCAAAAACCTTTCTCATAACTCTGTAACAACCGTTGTTGAAGTTGTTGCATACAATTTGAGCGGTATGCTTGTTCTCGTATTTGAGGACTGCTAGTTTCGTAGATCGATACCATGAGCAAACAATTTTGCAACGGTCAACTTGACGTGATGTTTCAGAGGCGGAGAATAGATTTGTGGTGGCTGATGCTGCTTCAAGTTTGCCGTACTTTTCCGATCCGCTCCATCCAGTCTCAAGTTCTTGGCATAGAACTGAGCTAACCATAGAGCCTGAGCCTTCGATGCGAAGAAATGCGGAAATAGATGGTGGAGTACCCTTGCTGGTGATTCTGATATAATTGCGAGGTACTTTAAGGCTTACCGTCGATAGAATGGTTTCCATAAACTCAAGGTCGGTACCTTGTGGTAAACCAGTGATTCGGATGGTGGTGAAATCAGATGGGACTGAAACTTTGTAAACTTTTCCTCCGTCTCCAAATGTTGTCAAGCCTCCAGAAAGCTCGCGCGTAAGCATACCATCTGGTGTATCATCCTATATCAGTTATCAGTATTAGATCACAAGAATTATCGCTATGGGATGGAATAAGATGTACATAGTTCTTTGTGACTGCCGGTGTCACATTCAAGGTAGCAGAGTGTGTATCGATGGTGGTGGGCAAGATTTGCTCAGGTATACTTGTTACTTGAGCACCTGATTTCAAGGTCGAGTAACTATTGGACTCGGTCAAGAAATGTTGAAATCGGCAGTTGTTTCCCCTGGCACACTTGCCTCTCGCAAAGAAGCTGCAGATTCCATCGAGAGCTGGTGTTGCTAAAGCTACCTTTTCAACTCCATGACTGAAAAGACAAGCATCACCTTTTCCACAAAATCCCTTGGCAAAGAAGCGACAAGCAATCTTTGCGTGTGATAGAGGGCTTAAGCGCTGACTGAGAGGTTGAATTTCATCGTTAAGAGTCAATGAAACTATTGATGGGAGCGCGTTTGTTTTGGCCTCTGCATCATGTTGGTACTGACATTTATTGTCACGACCACAACCAGCAGGAGTTGGGAAGTATTTGCAAGGCAACATCTTTGATATTTGGTGCTCTCGTCGGATGGTTGGGGTTCGAGAGTTGTTGATGTCTTGATTTCGTTTGATGGTAAAGGTGGAAGCTTGGTGATGATCAGTTTTTCTTTACCACCTTGTAGCGGCAATTCGATTACAAGGCGGCTAGTAGGATAATTTTAAGTTGAGACGAGAGTGAATAGATGGTTTTGGTGGAAATTGTGGTAGTGAATAAGTGAAAACTTAAAGGTCAGGCAGGTGATTAACAACTACTCATAATGCGAATTCTTATGGGAAAATGAAGGAAATGATCCTCTCAGCCGCTACTCTCTTCTATGATTTTAAAGAAGTCGAATGGTTAGAGTTCAAGATGTCACCGTCACCGTGATGAGAAATATTATTAGGCGTAAAGTCTCTCTCTCCAATTAGCGACAGGCGTTGAAAGTGTTGAAAGTATTCCATGAAGTTATATTTAATAGGTTAAATGGTTGCGGTTGATGAAAGGTGATGAGTTGATTTGATTTGATTTGATTTTCAGAAGCTTTTAGTAATCCACATCTGACCATGAAGGAAGGAGCGTCTTGTCTAGTACTCGTAGGATACGATACTCGTACATTACATAATCAATCCCATTCAAACTCTTCCTTCCACAACTTGTCAAATTAGTGAGTACTACCTTACTACCAACCCTACATCAAACTTTCCCATTCTACATATCTTTCCGAACCCGTACATCCAGACGCCAATGACATATCAAACTCCTCTTGCGTTGCTCCTTTTTTCAATTTCAAAGGCCATTTCTCCACTAGAGTATGCTTGTTCTTCATTTTCAACTCTACTATTTGAGTAGTCTCATTCAAACAACACTCCTTCTCAAACCTCGCAAAGGGCTTGTCAAAATCCCGAAACATGGATCTCGCATCATTGTACCGGATGAGATCTGCATTCCATGTTTGACCGTGCAGCACTACCTCTGGCGGAAGAGACATGTATTTACTGAGTTGCTGTGCTTCGGATTGAAAGTTGCCAATGTTGTCATTCGCAGTCGAGCATTCGTGTACAGAGTTGAGGAATAAGGCAAGCAGAGTGGCGTGTGGATTCTGTGATTTGCGCTTTAAACAAGGAGCGAAAGTCGCGGGAAGCTTTTCAGGTCCGAGGTAGGAACGATCTCCGATATTTGATACCTAGATACTGTTAGCTGTCTCGACTTTTGGATGTGGGACCAAGTGCATGTTTCACCTCGATTCTATCAAAATACTTCTCTCCAGTACCGCGCTCAGTTAGAAGACCTGGCAGATCTACAGCATTGATTGCATACATTGAAAAACGGATCTGCAGACTGGTAATATGTTTGCAGAAAGTCTGAAGCTGTTCCAAAATATGGAAGTAAAGGCTGCCATAGACATCGTTCCGAGCGGCTGGAGGTTTCGATAGAATATCCTTGACAGACCAACCATTCGTTGGTTCAGCAGAATCCATCATCGGTCAAGATTCGGTGCTTTGGAATAGTGTTCTGCCACGAAATTAGTGACCATACCTTCAAAAGAGATAGGAATTATTTACGGATTTGGTGTATTGAAGTCTTTGCGAGACTGTCCAAATGGTAGAAGTATTCCGTTAGTGCGGAACTTGGTTGCACCGACCCGCCAGGCAGGTGGTCGAGTACACAATATTCGCTCGGCATGATCTCTTCTCGAGGATGACAATGTAGTTTCCACCATAACTTTCTGTGCTTGGCTAGCTGTCAAGCCATCTGGAACCTTGAGAAACGATGGAAGAAGATCCCATGAAGCTTTTGGTAAGATCAAAGTCAAGGTTCTTGTGCCGAATGTCCAATCTTTTGCCTGTAAAAATGTTTCAGAGCGGCCTCGTATTTTTCTGCAGATATCTTCGATAAGAGGAAGGATCTTTTCCTGGAGCTTGTGTAAAGCGGATTCGAGTATAAATGCAGAGTACCAAATATGCAACATGATATCTGCTGCTTCGACGGGATCGAATACGAGAGCTGTGAGAAGCATTATAGCATTTCTGGCGACAACATCCAAATCCTTGTCGTTAATTACCACCTCACATTTCCCCAGGTACGCGGCTGGAAGTCCATTGACAGATTTGACAAAATTCCTAATGTCTCCAGATGCTATATGGTCGTCAGCTGGTGATTTCCCTACAGCCTTTATTCTCACCTGCAAACAAAAGGTTGAACTCATTTGGAAGCTGTTCCCCCTCATTGTTGCAATATTGAACCATATCAATAGCAGGAACATTACCCCACAAATATTTCTTCTCTCCAAATCCAACCATAGTCACCGGTTTTTGATACGAGTTACTTGCATCGCCGCCCTGGCGAATAAAAGCCGGTTGCCGATTCTCAACACGCCACTGCGGTTTCCAGGATTCTTTCATGAGTGGAGATTTGCAGTCTTTTTTATGATACTTCCAATGAACGGTTTGACAATCCTTGCTGCAGTACTGGACCAAGAAACATCCGTTGCATGTTTTTGATCCGATCTTGGTACATGCTACTACTCCGTCTCCAGCTTGATCGACGTTGGCGCAAGAGAGCTGGCGCGATACCAGGGAAGTTTGGGCCATGATGAAGTACAACTAGAAACGAAAATAAGGATGAACAAACTTTTTCTTTTCTTGACTCAATCTCTGGTTTATAACTTCTTATAAACCAGAATGAATCCGAGGATGAGCTGATGTTACACATTAGAATCTCCATTGCAGGGTATTCATTGGAGCCACACTTCAATCAAAAAGTGTAAAGCAATGTGTCGAGAGGCATCTGCACCTTACTATCCCCAAAACAAATTTCACTGCAGTCTTCGGGTAGAACGGATTTTTGTTTGCTTTCCAGGGTTCGCAGCAAACGCAATTGTTTGTTATAAGTAATTGTCTATTGTGAATAATCGTCTATTGAACTAATTATTATACTTTGCGAATTGAATATTATCTTATTCTAATTTCTAATATAGAATAATAATTTGATAGAAACTAGAAACCAATTATTCTCTTGCTCACAAGTTTCGATCAATACCAAGAGGACAAACAAAAGAATATAGTTTTATCTACTAGTAGCTTATATACCTCTCTTTTTAATTTGAAATAGAACAGTATATTTCAGTCCTCCCACACTGAGGCCAAACCTCCATGTACTCATCTCTATGTTATCGGAATGAATCTCAATATCGTAGTCTCTAGCCAGCAGAATAGAGGTAGAGAGTATAATATTTTTAGCTAGGAAGCGACCAGGACAAATAGAGTGGCCTCCTGAACATATGTTAGACCTTTGTATAAGTAAGAAATTTCAATACTGTATTAACTGATTAGGAAGGTATTATTTTATAATAGAAAAGTTTATATTTTAGTAAGAAAAAACTATACGCTAATAAAGAGTTAATATCTTATAATCTAGGTTGATTATAAATATTGTTATATTTTGAGGCTAACTAGGATATCTTACTTTTAATCCTAACCTCTACCAATTGAATCTTCACAAAAGCATATCCAAGTATTTTTTGTATTCAAACTTATTGTTTTGAAAGTTATTGATACCATACTGATATCAAAATCGGGAATATAATATAATGCTTTTGAAATTTACCCCTCTGATTTTGTTTTCGGCAAGATACTATTACTTTATTTAGATGATTATCAATTACTTTCTATCTTTTGTATAGATAATCGTGATTCAGATTTATATATAGTTTTTTGTATTGTTTTATATACTTTTTAAAAGAATCAAAAAAGAATAAAGAATCAAACGATAATTAGATATGAATATCTAGATCTAATAAAAGTCTCGAAATAGAAAAGACTTATTTTGAATGATTTGAAAGTTCAAATCTATAGAAAGTTATATAAAACCTTAGATTCTTTTAATCTAATAAAATCAAATTATTATATCTGTTTCTGTTCACTTCTATATTTATTATATCTTCCTAATCCTCTTTTTTCAATTCTTTTTTAAATAATAATATCTCGATATCTATAATATCAATCATTACAAATACTCTAATAAACTACGAACTTGCTATTCTTT